TGTTTGACACCCTTGCCTTGAATTATACGGGATAAGGAACTGGCATGAAGTAAATGCAAAAGGTAGGTCAAAAAATTCTGAAATATGATACTCCCGAAACACAAGGACTCGCAGAATAAGCCTAACAGACACCGAGGGACGGCCAGCGAATGAGCCTGCAATAATGTTGCCGACGGTATCCCGACGTCTTCCCATCCCCACACGCCCTGGCGCCAGCTGCAAGCCCCCGACCTTTAGCACTGTCGCTCTCTCCTCCTGCAGCGGCCGCCTGCCCGGCGCCCTTCCTCCCGGTGATGTCTCAGTGCTTCTGGTCGAGTGCCCAGTACAAGCTCTCCTGGGACGACGCCCGCGACTTCTGCCAGCAGATGGGCGGCGACCTGGCCGAGCCCCTGCACCTCAACGCCCTCATGGTCCACCTCCAGGACCGCTACCGTAAGACTGCCTCGCCTTCTGCAGGCTCTACATTTCTCCCCAAAATATCGTTTATATCACATGCAGATTCTGTGTGTATAAACGCTGACACATGTATGTTTGTATCCATAACGCTGAAACATACATACAATCTAGCATGTCCGTGTCCATGGCGAGCCGGAGAGTCCTCGGCCAAGGAAAGTTGCTTTTTTCCCTCACCTACCCGTTTCCTCTCCCTCAGCGTCCGCCAAGGTGTTCCACTTGGGGGCGACGGACCTCGAGCAGGAGGGGAACTGGACCTACATCTCGGGCCGCCCCGTCGACCCGAGGGGCTGGATGCCCGGCGAGCCCAACGACACCGCCCACGCCCAGAACTGCCTCAACCTCTGCTTCCAGGGCTGCAGGGCGTCCTACCCGCCCCTCAACGACCAGCAGTGCCACGCCAAGTTTCACTTCGTGTGCGAGTTCTCCGTCGCTCGAGAATAAGGAAGACCCGCGTCCTGTCAGCTGAACACCGCTGCGCCGAAAGCCAGAGAGACGCGAAGAAAAAAAAAAAGTAATATTGGAAGGATTGCGAACATGTGTATAACCGCAAATACTTGTTCCGATGAATATTCTGAACAGCCACTTGTTTGTATGAATATTTCGAACGATTTTATTTTCTGGTTGATGTGATTAATACCCTCAAGGAGATTTTTTGAGAATTGTTGTTTATTTTCTTTATCCTTTTATCAATAAAGTAACGGAACTGAAAAGATAAAGGAAACTAATTAACTGGACTGTAGCTTGGGCTTCACAATGACGAATGATTAAAGAATACGTAAGAACATAATAGAAATCATAATAGTAATGCTAATATTCATTATAATGATAATAATTTTCAATATAACATTAATGACGGTAATGATACTAATAATAATAATAAGGATAATGATATTGATAATGATAATAACAATAGTAATAATGCTGATAGAGATAATGATGATAATGAAAATTATAATTACAATAATAATATTGATAATAAGATTATAATGATGATAATGACGATGACAACAAAATAGTAGTAATACTAACAATAATAAGAATGGTCACAAAAGAAAATGATACCAAGAATCTCAAGGAAACTCCAAGACAACGTTAAGACGCTGAAGTAACGTTGTATGAATAGAATTTAACCAAAGGATCTATTAAAAAAAAAATGTTTTGAATCCGGTATATGTGTGTCTAAGTGTGTGTGTGTGTCTGTGTGTGTATGTGTGTGTTTGTGTCTGTGTGTGTGTGTGTGTGTGTGTTGTGTGTGTGCTGTGCATTTGAACATATACGTGAGTCTGTGTGTAAAGTTCGTTATGAACCTAATACATATCAATAATGACATGCCTTTTCATCCTTACAATGTGTAAGTGTGAGTTTTGCGAAGCGTGTGGCTCGCAATCTGTAGACGCTTATGTAAATTTTGCTTATTATGTCCCTTGACTGAACACTTTCACGCTGCCTCTCTCTGCCTCTTCTCTCTTTTACTTTGCCCTCCAATTTATCCCTTTCTTCATCACGTTCTCTTCCCATTTTGTCTGGATTTCCGTTATTCTCTCTCTTACATTATACACACACACACACGCACACATACACACACACGTGCATATATATATATATATATATATATATATTATATATATATATATATATATATATATATATATATATATATATATATATATATATATATATATATATATATATATATATATATATATATATATATATATATATATATATATATATATATATATATATATTATATATATATATATATATATATATATATACTATATATATATATATATATATATATATATATATATATATAATATATAATATACATACATACATACATACATATCTATCTATCTATTTATATATGTACATATATATATATATATATATAATATATATATATATATATATATATATATATATATACATATATATATATATATATATATATATATATATATATATATATATATATATATATATATATATATATATATATATATATATATATATATATATATATATGTGTGTGTGTGTGTGTGTGTGTGTGTGTGTGTGTGTGTTGTGTGTGTGTATATATATATATATATATATATATAATATATATATATATATATATATATATATATATATATATATATATATATATATATATATATATATATATATATATATATAATATATATATATATATATATATATATATATATATATATATATATATATATATATATATATATTATATATATACTATATATATATATATATATACACACCACACACACACACACACACACACACACACACACACATATATATAATATATATATATATATATATATATATATATATATATATATATATATATATATGTATGTATGTATATATATACATGTGTGTGTATATATGTGCATATATGTATATACAGAGAGAGAAAAGAGAGAGAGGAGAAGAGAGAGAGAGAGAGAGAGAGAAGAGAGAGAGAGAGAGAGAGAGAGAGAGAGAGAGAGAGAGAGAGAGAGAGAGAGAGAGAGAGAGAGATTGATAGATAAATAGATAAATAGATTAGACAGATGTAAACATACATATATATAATCCTATGTATTCTTTTGTTTGTGTGTGCGTATGTACACACACATATATATACATATATGTATGTAAAGATCTCCGTGTGTGCGTGTATGTATTAGATTCCCGTCACGTGACCCGGAGACGATACCTTACCTCTCTCGCTTCTGTCAGAACTTCGGTGTCTTATTACCAGATGTCTTAAAGCGTTTTAAGCAGGGGAGCGCTTGGCAAGAATTCTTGCCAAGCGCTGTACCGTTCCCTGCTTAAAACGCTTTCCAAGGCAGGCAGGCCCTCTTCAGTGATGCCAGACATGTGGAAATGTCTTTTTATAAAGTACAAATCATAACAGTCCTTGATGAGCATAGAAATATCAAAATAAAACACGAAATATACATACTTGGGTTTTAAAAGCAATATTCCCACCAACAATCTCGGAAAGAGATAACTTATGCACAAGTCGAGGGTGGAGTTTATTTCACCTGTGGTTGGTAACAGTTTGAGCGCGCAATTCAAAACAACTGACAAGCTAGCGCCGCATCAAGATGACAGAGAAGTAAATAAATCTACCAAACATCTTAACAAAGCGTTATATTTTCTCCTATATTCATATAAAGTGCCTCTAAAACAGTGACACACTTCCGATTGACAGCCCTTTCATTCTGACGCGTTATCAAAACAAATGAATATCCCTGAATTAAAATATAGGCCTACCCATTCCCATATATCCGATTTTATGAGGTTAAATATAACAAATCATCGAATATAATATCAACAGAAGAATGTTGATGGAATTTCTCAGACTTTTTCACTTCAGATATTCTTTATTTCATAAAATAGCAGATATATTCTCGATTTAGAAAGACGAGAAGTTTAACAATAAGAGGAAAATTGTTATCGTCTTATAATCATTTATTATTCATAAGTAAAACTTTTTATTCCCATAATCTCCATTATCTCCTTTCGTTTTCAGTTAATTTCAATTTCTTTCAATCAGATACCGTGAAAAAATTATTTATCTGATAAGATATTAAGCGGAGTTCCTGGCCAACGCCCGCATTCGAAGGATCGTGACCAGTACGGTACGCAACCGACGCCGTTGCCATGGTGACGGTACACCGCTTGACTTAGCAAGCGCAAGTCAAGCCATCTACGGAGGTCGCTTGTGAAAGCAAGCGAAATGCTTGAGTTAGCAAGAAAAAACGCTTGAGATTTCAGGCAAGAACTTTCCCTGCTTAAAACGCTTTTTTATTACCAGATGTCTTAGAAGTGCTTAGCGACCAGTTCCAGAATTTATCCTACCTCTGGCATCTCGTAGCTCCCCGGTATGCCAGGCGTAAGAGTAACTTCTTTCGTTATGATATTCATTTTCTTCGTTTTCCTTCTTTTCTAAAAAAAACAGGCAACATTTCTTCTTGCTTTGTCATCAAATAAATACACCACAATCGCCAATGGATGAATTTCTTTGGAACTGTCTGTTAGCAAAGATGGCACCTTCACAGAAAATATAAAGTTGTTCTCCTTGGCAACAGCATCTTTACTTCAGAAGTTCAGAACGTGAGAACATCTTCGAGTCGTCTCGTCCACGACGGGGAGGCGTTCTCTATAACTGTGAGTTTTTTTCTTATTCTTGCAAGGTAGAAGAATATTTTTTCTGTAGATTTTATTAGCGATGGCTTGAGTCCTCAGTAATCTAATGTATAAGACGTTTCATCTCTAATATTGAATTGGATTCTTAGATAAGAATGTAGAAGGATATTATTGTGCATTTTTTGTAGTGGTATTTTTGATTACATTAGAATGATTCTATGTCACGGTTAATATTATGACTTATAGTTTTTTACAGCTTTTTCATGCTTTTTCATTGTTCCTCAGTATTGCGTTTCATGTTTGGATTTGTGACATATTGTTGTTTGCGTTGGTTGACATATCTTGGTTGTATTTTACGATAAAACATTGATATTTCCGTT